TCAAAAACAGAAATAAATACAGCTTCATCAAATCCTAACCAAAATAATGGGCAGTAGCATATAAATAATTAACTCCCTTGCCCCAATTAAAACCACTTTGGGTTCAATTAAGAGTATCTATAGCCTTAACAATGTAAGACTGGCTGTAATCTTACAGCCGACAATGTTTATGTTAATGAGTCTTTTATTTTCACCAGCAAAACAGATAAAATTATGCTGCTCCTTGGAAATTTACAGCAGTGAATCATGTTTCTACAACTTCTGACAGCTCCAGTGACAAAAAATGGCCTAATTTCATGAACAGGCTTCAGTAACATGTATTGCTCAAGTGAATCCTCAATGGCATCCTAAAATCTCAAACAGTAATTAATTTCTTAAGCAGCTTTGAGAAATAGTTCTGAAAAATAAGATCAGTGATTCTACTTAAAGCAGCAAGCCTATCCTGTACTTCCATTCCAATGTTCCTGCCATGACACCATTTCTCTTGCTACTACTACTGACCAAGTAGGGTATTCCTCTTGGCAAAGAAAAATGAAGTAATTGACATCTCAACAGACAAGCAATTGGAAGAGCCATGTTAGTAATTCCATATTTCAACAGAAAGACAATATATGATAAAATTCCAGTGGTGTGCATACTTGATTACTGTACAGCCATGCAAATGCAACAATGACTGCAAACAAACTAATTTACTTGGTTACTGATAAAAGTGCAATTCTGGAAATCAAGTCTTTAATCTTGAATTAAGATGACTTGAGAAGAGATTTCCAAGTCTTGTCACCTCAGTAATCTTAAAATCAGCACCTGAATTTCTATGACAGAACAAATTTTTAAAGGCTTCATGCTGATGAGAGTGTTAGTAAAGGAGAAGCACTGGTCTGTCTAGTTTCAAAGTGCAGGGACAGGGAGTAGATTCTGGAATGAAGAAACAGGAAGATGGCCCAGCACGAGGGCCTTGGCATATTTACAGCAGAGGCACGGGAGAGAGGTTGTTCAACAGGCTTTTTATCACCAGCAAGTTCCTCCATCACTTGGTCGAGCACTTCTCAGAGCCAGCATGGAAAGGAAGCCCACCAGCTCACAGACAATGCCCTCAAGCACTGCAATGTGCAGGTGAAAATGACCACATGAAGGGGAAATGTCCCTGTCCCTCAGCAGACACTCTGCTTACTGCAGTGCCCCACAGCAGCACACGGGTCTGGCCATGCCCTATCAAGCCTGCACAGCACCTAAGGAAAGGACAGAGATGGAAGATGAACAGCTTCCATGTGTCAAAATGGCCATGGCTAAGCCCCAGTCCTGAACAGGGAAACTGATCTGCACACAATGCAATACACACCAGCTCAGAGCAGTACGGCATCCCCTTCCTTAGAACATGACCTCTGGAGCACAAAGCAGAGTTGTGAGCAGTGGAACTGTTTAAACAAGGACTCCCCACACTCACACAGCCCAACTGCTTGTTTCCAACATAAAACACAACGATGTTTCACTTCTGAAACACTTGGGACTTTTCTCCTCTTTGCTCATCAAAGGCTAAGCTCGCTATGCATGGTGAAAAATATTTGCACCACCTCAGCCTGCCAGAACTCCAAGAACTTCACCCTGATGTTTCAAGAGACTGAAAAAACTCTTCCACAAAATATATGGCACCCCTAACAGCTCTATATTTAATTTCCTTTCAACACCTTTTCAATAAATATATTTAACTTCTACATCCAAAGAAAACTTAATCGAGTATTGTCTTTGGAATTTGTGAAATAAAACTGAACATCACTGATGAACTGTACCTGACCAGATACAGCAGATGAATAATTTGGCAAAATTCCAGGAAGGGTTAAGGAATGTTCATCAGCTACATTTAATTAAAAATCAGTCAATCTTACATCCTACAACTACTAGTTCTACAGTTGACACTAGGGGGGTGGGGGTAGAAGGAATTGGAATACATCTCTTTTTCCATTACTTCATAGTGTATCCAGCCTTATGTGTACCAAAATGCCAACTTAACCATTCCTGTGCTCTGTTCACTATTCTACCCTTTCCCCTGCCTCCACCTGAATTATTCTCCAGTAATTTCTGGACTGCCTAGAAATTATGTGTGTCCAAAAGAGTCACAAAGACTCAATTATTTCAGATGTTCAAATGTTGATATCCACTTTTGCTCTAAATTCCTCAGAATCTCTAGGCAGTAGAACATCTACTTGTAGACATAACAGCAAATAGTCAAAACTATAAAAAATATATGAGCTAGACACTTTTATTTTAAATGGAAGTGCAGGTTTAAGGAGAACAGTGATTGCTAATCCTGTGGGTGTTTTTTTTATTCAAGCTAATTATGCAGATCTCTTTCCTGCTGTACTACAGGAACTCTGAATTGTAAAATGTCTTTCAAATGGAAAAATGTTTCTATTAGAAACTCCACATGCCTGTAAAGTGACTAGAAGAGATTAGTCTAGTTACAGTGTGTTGAACACACAAAGTGTACACACTTCTGAACTCAGAATTTGTCAGGTAAGTGGAAATGCTGTCTTTGAGCAAACCCCTACACATGAGAAAGGTACTGACCATGCAAGACGCTTACTACTGAACCAACAAAACAACCCAACTCTAAAAGCTAATTATTGCCCTTTGCTATGCAAAGCTGGGCAGGTTGGTAACATTTGTGCTACAGGTATATATATCTTAAAAAAAATTAAAAATGAGGCCTCAGGAATTGAAAACACACACAAAGCACACTGAAAAACACCCCAACTTTATGCTCACTCGCAAAAATACAAGGCACTTATCCACTCAGGTCCTGTGTTTATTATCTCCACGGAATTCAGTATGGGAATGGGTTTACACCTGTGTTAACAGCCTGTGTACCAGCAATTCCGTGTCTGTAAGGTATTTCATCCTTTCACTAACCCTTGGGCCAGTTCCCAAAGCACCTGCTGACAAACCTCAAGCAGGCACGCTGCACAGGACACACGGCCTGGCTGGGGTTTACCAGGACCAGCTCCCTCCTGGCTCAGGGCTGCACAGGCAGCTCCTCCTGCTTCTTCCTACAGAGCACCACACGGTGTGCCAGAGATACAGGGGCTACAGTCTCCAGAAAACACGTGTACAATGTGCAGAGGCTGCAGCATGACAGAGGCGTGAAGGGAAGAGGGAAGGCACACAAGGGAAGTAATTTTTCTTATGGCCTGCACTCAGGACTCCCTAAAAGATGTCTCACTGATTCAAGTCAAACACATAACTAAAACTTCACAAAGCAGGGTCACTATCTGTAGCAGGACAAACAAGCAGTTCATTAGCAAAACTTTCAGTGTGATGAAAACCAGCTTTGAGCCTTTTCTAGTCACCACGTGTTATAAAGATACCACATCAGAAGGCAGTCTTAAATACCAGACTGCACATCTGTCTCCCAGGCTCATCCCTGTGCGACACAGGAAAAGATCACAATGATACAACAGCTTCAGCCTATCCAGACACCTCAGACTCCACGATTTTTATTAAAGACCTTCAGCTTGAAAAAAAGCATACAGAAATCTGCTTGCACTGGGGCACACCTTTTCTAGTCTGAATCAAGCTTTGAATGCAAGGCTGCTGAGCCAGCACTTTCTCTAAAGACACTCTTTTTCCTTATTTGTTCCTGCCCTCCACACAAGTACTCAGACACATCCAAGCAAAGGGAAAAATTAGAAAAAAAAGGAACAAAAAACCAACCAAACCCGCTCAGATTGAAACAGGGAGAAGCTCCTTGATTCAGTGTACCCTGTAATCACACAAACCCTCCTCAATGCAAAGGAGGATGGATCACTGAGCAGCAAGGCAACATCTGCCCCAGCCCATAACACATGAAAAACCACACTCAGTACAAGGTCGTACCAACTCGAAAGCATGACTGAATCTTTTCAGAGATTTATAGTTCATATTTACTTTTTAACCCTAACTGAAACTGCAAGTCTCACGGCCACATGCCTGTGCATAGGGCTTTCTAGTTCTACATGCTCAGTTTCCACAAAATATTTTGGAAACAGAAGTGACAGAAGACTGTACACATCCCTCCCACTGAAGTGGCAGAAGTTTACAGAACCTTAAGAGTGCTGTTGCTCCACGAGGACAACAGTACTCATCCTACTTCTGATCTTCGAAATGACTCAAAATAGTAGCCTAAGTCTTTCTGAAAGACAACATGAGATTTTTAGACAAAACCGACTTCTTCTGAGAGAAAGCAGCTTAATCTGGATACAAAATCTGGTCAATAAGTCCACTGAAGCTGCTCACTAACAAACTTAAGACACTTCCAATTCAACCCAAGTCCTTAGAAAGATAAATGTCCCAGCAACACCGCATGAAAGCTGAAACAAGTTCCTTAAGATGTAGCTGAATTGGGCCCCCTTTGCTGGTTTTAGGACTGCAGACCATCTTAACCACATTCTGAAAACCAGGCTTGTTGCCTAAATTACACTGAATGCTCTGTCATCCATATGCCAGCCGCCACCCAGCAAAATCGATTGACAAATTTCCATAGGAGCTGGCTGCAAATTAAACTTCAAGAAGACTTCAAAACCTTCATCCTTCTCCACTTCCTCCTTCGAAAGCCATCTTCTTACCGACCAACAAACATGGTTATTACCTACAGCAAAACAGTGAGTTATAAAAGAAAGCAAAAATAAAAAATGAAGCGAACCCAGGGTGGGTGCTCGGCAGGACAGCGGCTCTGCAAGGCGAGCGATGAATGAAGCGGCGGCGGGGCATTTCCCGGAGCCCGGGCTGCCTCACCGCGGCCGGCGCCGAGACCCGCGGGGCGAGCGGGCGAACGCGGCGGCCCCGGCGCTGCCCCGGCCAGGCGGGACGGGGCGCGGGCGGCGCTGGCCCCGGCTTACCCCACTGGAGGGAGCCGCGGCCGGGGCGGTGCCGCCGGGACTCCGCTCCCCGCCGGCTCGGGGTACGAGCCGGGGCCTCCTCGACCCGCTCCCCGCCGCCGAGCGCGGGCCTCCCGCTCCGCCACTCACCAGAATGCGCTTGAAGAGCGCGTTCTCCTTGGGCGGCAGGCTCACGGACGGCATCCTCCCCGCCGCCGGCTCCGGCGCCGCCGAGGGGTTCCGAGGAGGAGACTGAGTGGGCGGGCGGGCGGGCTACGTCCCGTCTCCGCCGCTCGGCCGCCGCCGCCGCGAGCCTCGCCGCTGGAATTCCGCCGCTCACGCCGCCCGCGGGCCCGGCCCTTCCCGGCCCTTCCCGCTCCTTCCCGGCCCCTCCGGCCGCCGCGCGCGCCGGGCTCCCCGCGCCAGCCCCGGGCGCGCTCACGTGGTCCCGAGCGGCCGCCGAGCCGCCGCCAAAATGGCAGCGCGGCGCTTCCCCAGCCGGGTCACGGCGGCCCCGCGCATGCGCCGCGGCCCCGCGCCGGCCCCGCCCCGCCGGTTTTGTGGGCTCCGCCGCCGAGCCGCGGCCGGCCCGGCGTGGTTCCGGAGCGGTGGCGCCACTGCCCGGTGCCGGCGGCGGGCGGGAAAGAGCGGAGAGCCATCGGGCTGCGCAGGGCCCGCCGGCTCTCGCGCGGCGGAGCTCGCCCGCCCGGGCGCCCGGGCACGGGCGGGGCGGGGTGGTCCCACCCCCGCGGGCGGAGCCGCGTCCGGTCGACAAGATGGCGGCGGGCCTGAGGGCGGTGAGGCGCTGGGGGCTGGTGGCGGCACCGCCACCGCCCAGCCTTGGTGAGCGGCGGTGGCGGGAGGAGATCCCCTTCGGAGCAGGCTGGTGGGCTTTAGCCCGGCCCGGCCGGGCCCATTGACCTAGGGCCGCGGGAGCCCTGCTGCCTGGTCAGGCGGCGGCGTCCCCGCCAGCCAGTCCGCATCTGGCGGTAGAGGAAGCTTCGTTGGTAGCTTCTCTCCTTTTACTATTTTAATCGAAGCCCATTAGCTATTTTTAAATCTTTTATGTGTTTTAAGTTTGTGTTGCTTCCAGGCCGGGGGAGGGCTCACCGTGTCTCGCCCCCTGGTGGTGCCGGCCCTTCCCTGGCAGGCTGTGCCCGTAGCGCGCTCGATTAGCGGGGATCGGAGGCGGGCAAGGCCCGGGGCTGGGGGCTTCGCGCAGGGGACTGTGAGAGGCATCCTTATGGAGTAGAAGATGCGGGGGAAATTGTTATTGTGGCTGGGGAACGGGCAAAAAGCGCTGCTTTGAGGTGTTGGCAGCCCGCCCGTCCCCTCTCTGGCGGGTCAGGGAGCGTGTGCTGCGGGGATCCTGCGAGCAGATCGGCTCGTTATGTTATGTTATGTCATGTTTATGTTATGTTTATGTTATGTTATGTGTAAGTGTTATGAAGACCGCTTCATCATTGCATTCGTTCGGGGTTTGTTGTTGTCGTTTGCTATTTTCCCTGATTGCACGGATGTCGGTAAGAACCTGGTAGTCTAACCCTGAGGAATGTTAATGCATTTGTAATCTTGTGCCTTTTTAGCTTTTACTCGTTCTGCATTTGTTGTGAAAAAAGCAAATAATGCCCAACCGAACTGGCTGCGAGTTGGCTTGGCGTTTGGCACCAGTGCTGCCTTGTGGGCTCTCGTAAGTGTTTTCATTTGGTTTTGTTGAACTTAACTATTCCTTTAAAATCATAATAGTGACATGAATGCAGATACTGCAAACTATTGAGTTTACTGAGGTAATGGATGGTCATAGCAGGTCTCAAATTTGAAGCATGATTATGTTCATTACTTATGTTTTCCCAGCTTTATGTTGTGCTCTTATTTTAAAAAATTAGCAACTTCTTAAGCTTCTCTCTGTTTCAAACAGAGAATTAATTCTTCAAGCCTGTTGGATTAATGCTTTGGCATTATTTTCCCCATGGTCTTTCCAAAAAGAGAAAAGACCTAGGGATGTGCCCAGATAATGTATTTATCACACTATCAATGCGCTCTCACTTTTCAGCTGGTTAAGGTGGTTTTAGCTGATTTCAATGGATTAAGACCCCTTTTTCCTGAGCAAAGTGCAGATGTAAGATACTTCTGTTTCAGAGAACTCACAGACTTTGTGGTGTTAAAGCAAGCAGGGTGCAGTAGAATTGTGCAGGATCAACAGCACTCCCCATGGTGACAGTGTTTTCAGGGTGGGATGGGTTCCCTTTGGGGTTTCCCCCTTTTTTGGGGGTGGTGAATTCATTGGCAGTGGTCAAGAGAAAAATGTTTGTCCTACGAGGCATTGTTCTCGCACCTTTTCTCAGTTGTTAATTTAGATATGTTGTGTTCTGGACGGTCCCAGTTACATACTGGTTTGCATGCTGGTAACAAGTATTTCAAATTCTGCAAGCTGTCTTTGCTGTCTGGATCCAGCTGTGAATTGTATAGCTGTTTATAATATTCTGCCCTTTTATAGCTTATCAAGCAGCACAATGAGGATGTAACGGAATATGAAAGAAGAAAAGCAAGAGCACATCAGTGTAGACAATGTTCATAGTAAGTATGCACATGCCAATGCTTTTGACTTAGCTGAACACAAATTATGAAGGTCTTTGACATCTTTTGGAAGTCAAGATACTGAACTGACTTATAGTCTTTTTTTCCTCAGTACTTCGCATTTTGGATTTTACTATTGTTTTAAATCATTCCCAGCTTTAAAATGATAAGGTGGCTTTACATTTCAATATGTATTTTCATATATTCACTTGTGTGTGTATTCCCTCTCAGCTTTCTGTCTTGAACATGCAAACTCGTAGAAAATAACACATCTCTTACAGTGTCTGCAATGGATAAAGGTTGTAAATTGAATACCTTATAAATGGCTCAGTGGCAAGGAAACAAGAGTGACTAATGATAGCTTATCTTTTCATCTTGGTTTTTCTTTTAACGTACGTACAGTGGGGTCTGTGCCTGTAGATGTGCACTATAGGGCAAAGTGTATGTAGTTATTGTCCCCTTTTCAGTAAAAAAAACATAATTTGTGTTTCTGCCAGCTAAGAAGTCTTTGGGGATTATGGCCTCAGAGGAATTAACATGAAAAAAATCCTTATACTACAGAAAACCTTGTGGTGCTGTGGTTATTTTTCCCCATAAACATTCCTCTCCAGATAAAAATGCAGGATGTTATGAGATGTTTCTTGCCACTTTGATCACATCTATTTTTCTTATTGCTAGGACTTTTTTCTTTTCTTTTCTTAGGCTGATGACATGGTCAGAAAGAGACGTGCACTACAGAGCCAAGTGTATGTGGTTGTTGTCCTATGAATAAATGAGCACAGAAGAAGTAAAAGGTTATCTAATTACTTGTATGTTCATACATTTCATGTGCATAATTAAAAATAAATTATAAAGTCTAGAAGAAACCTGAAACTACTTTCTTTACCATTAATATTTCATTCTGCTGGTTGAAGTTGTTTTATGTTTTCATTTCCATTTCTTAGTTTATCAGTCTTATTTTCAAAACTGCCTTTGCTATTCTGGAGGGTATATTATAAAATTAAACATCAGTTCAGATGAAGTTCAGTAAATGTTCCAGAAGTGTAGTCTTGCTCTGTCATCACTGTCACTGCTAAATTTATAAAATAAGCAAATATAAGAATAGGATCTGTATAAATGCTAAAATCTGCATTTTCCTGTGAGCATTTTGGGGACTGGCCGTGCCTGAGAGGTGCCCACAGGGAAGGACTGCCCAGCCCGTGTCAGTGTTGGGTGTGAGCTCTGCCTTCTGAACGCTTCTGCCCTCTCTTTGCGCCTCAAGGTCAGTCAAGGACAAAGGCTGGGAAAAGGCCATCGTGGCAGAGTGTGATGGCATTAGATGATCATTAGGGAACAAAGGAGCTCTGTCCAGAGAAAGGAGGGGAAACAGGGCTGCTGCCCAACAATGTAGGTAGGACAAGGAGAGCTGCACAGGTCTGACCCGGAGACGCCCTGCGCTGTGGCAGTCTGCGTGGTCCCAGAGCAGCGATTCACTGCGAGCGTCTCACTGCCCACACCGAGCGCCTTTGGCACCGTGCCTAACCCGAGCGCCCTTCGCCGTCAATGTAGTTGATTTCTTCTTTGGTTTTGTTTTTTCTCTCGGAGAAATTCCTTTTTAAGTGAAACAGTAGTTCCCCCCCATCTTCCCTCTCCTTGTCCATGCCATCCCATTATCCCGGGTCAGTCGTTGCGGTCAGTTCCGAACGCCGCTCCCTTGCCGTGGGGCGGGTGGGTGTCGCAGCCCCGGCCTTGCGCAGTGTGCGCGCCGCTTCCCCCGTGCCGCCGCAGCCGGGGCTCCGCTCCTTCCCCGCCGCCGCCGGGGCACCCCCGGCCGGGAGCGGCGCCCAGGTGCGCGGGGCGGGGCTGCGGCTCGGCCCGCCCCCGCGGCACCGAGGCGGGACCGGGCTCTGCCGCCGCATCCCCGCCGCACCGGCAGCGCAGAGCCGGCTCCGTTCTGCTCGCCACCATGTCCCTGTGCAGGGCCGCCTCGCAGGCGCTGGCCGCCCGCCTGAGCAGGGCTCCCGCCGCCGCCAGCCGCCTCAAGCAGCGTGGTACGCGGGGCCGGGCCGGGCAGCGCTCCCGGGATCCCGGGATGGCGGGACGGGGCGCGGACCGGGAGGCGGCGGCGGAGGGGATGCGCGGCGGGGGCGACGCGGGGCCGGGACAGGTGCGGCGGGGCGGGCGCGGCTGCTCGGTCATGCTGGGCTCCGGCACTGGCTGCTGCAGAGCTCCGCCGGCAGCCGAGCTGGCCCGGGACCCCCTGCCCCCGGCCCGTGGCAAAGCGGAGGCCGCTGCTGCCTTCCCTTCCTTTAAAATAGCGGGAGGCATCCCCCCGGTAGGGCAGCCGCAGCGGCGGGGCCCCGGCAGGGAGCGGGAGCAGAGCCGGTGCGCCACAACCGTGGCTTTTGGCGCATCAGGGGTTGTGTAACCGCTGGCAAAAAAAAAATCTGCCAGCCGCGTTGGGCGATGGCAGCTTGCTGATCACTGTCCTATAGCTGGCTGCCCCGGGGGGAGGGTTAGGGACACACAGCTGCTGAACGAAAATATAAATGTAGGCAAAGCCATGAGGATGCCCGGCTATTGGAGAACAGTCTGAGAATTGTGTCATGAGACAGATGATGCTAAACATAACCTAGCACACCATGGCAATGTTTTGACATTGGGATTATTTTTGCAGCTGTCAATTGTAATGCCCTGAGCTATTTTATTTTTCATGAGCGCTTTTTCAATGAGACATTTCTCATCTGGGATCAAGTCACAAAATTCCACAGAAAGCTTTGTTGACCAAGAGAATTACGTGTGGTTTTTCATGGTTATCTTTTTAAGGTGTATGGATGAATCCAAGACTGTAGTAAGAATCAATTTATAACAAATGAATGGGTAGCACTGCTGTTACAGTTAATATGTATCAAGTCAGGTAAAAAACTCTGTAGTTCTACCTCTCTGTTGGCCAATTCATGAAGTGAAGCGTATGGATCAAAGTGTCAGCAGTCTGAGAGTGAAAGAATGTGAATTCAAATGAAAAAGCTTTTTAAAAAATTTCCTGTTATTACCCTGAAGAGAGAATTCATTACTTCTGCTGATCATAAGGAATAAGGACAGATAATTATTTTACCTACCTTAGTCAGGAGCTTTTTACATTCTTTTTTTTATTAAACATTCCTTAGTCTATATAGACTGTGCCCAGAACCTGGAAGCTGATAGTAGACAACATAGTTCACAGAAAAATACCTCTTAGGAAGAGCTCAGCCATGGAGCACCCCACCCTGTGTTACTCAGTCATAGGATACATTAATATGCATCAACATCTGTTTTTATAACCTTTTTGAATCATCCTTTCCCATACAGGGTTCAGGTTCCATAATTCATTTTTGTGATCATATTTTAGCAGCACTTTACATCACCTTCCCTAATGGTTTTTGTAGCGCCTCCTCGCCAGATGTCATCTGGGAGCGTTCCTGGCTCTTCTAGAGACAGCATGATGATCTATCTCCTTGCTGGTGTTGCTGCTTTTGGTGGTTTATTTTATGTAAGTGTTTGGGGATGGAGCTGTGTGTGCTTTCTGAGCTGGCATGGTACAAGGTGTGTGCTGGGTTAGAGCATGGTCAGGATGCCAACCATCAATGAACGCAGATATTGCAGCTAAGTGCAGCCTAACTTAGAAATCAGCTTAAGAGGATTTAGTGAAGGTGAAAGCCTAATGCTTGCCTGTTCTACTGTTACTTTGATAAGTAGTGCTGGGTCGCTCTTAATGGAAAGCATGTTTAAAACTATGTGAAATGAATGTTTCCAAAGATTGAGTAGGGCACCTGTCTCTAACCCCTTGCCTTGTCTTGTCAACCAGAAACACTTGCAGTGTTTCAAAGTGGGCGAGGCAGATGTGAAATAAGCAATCTGAAGCTGCAGGGGGAAGATACGAACCTTGTTAATTTGGGCACAAAAAAGGAAGATAACAGCATTAGTTACTGCAAGGAAGCATGTTAAAGTTTTGTAAGCATCTGGTTTTGTTAAGCTTTTCGGTAACCATTCTCCTCCCTGCTTCTAAATTGTCTGATTTTGTGCTTCACGTCCCTAAATCCTCCGTTCTACAGCTTCCCTCTACCCTCTCCCCCAAGACCTGAGATAGTGCCTAGCACACCCCAGAGAGGTACATATGTCCCTGTCCCACAAAGTAATCCTCTTGAATGGCAAGTAGCTGTTTGTTCAAAATATCAAACATGTATGATTGCGTTTCTGGATGAAAAACGTAGTATCTTCCTGTCACATTTTTACCACATTACAAAAATAGAAATCTTAATGTAATTAGCTTTTAAAAAGCTGTTTTCAATTCCTGAAGCACTGCAGCACTTTAAAAGCTGCATGGTATATTGTATTTGCTTTCTAACAATGGAGAAATATGAAATACATGAATATATTCATTTAGTAAATTATTAATTTTTTTAGCCTTTCTTAGGATAAATTTTATATGGATTTTAAGATGGGCAGTAGCACTTGTTTAAAATTCCTTCTCTCCCTCTTGCCTCTTTGTGTTTGGTAAATTTGTAGGGATGTAGCTGTAAATTCAGGTATAATTCCCTTTCAGGCCTACAGAGTAGTCAGTTCACCCCGCAGCAAGTTTGTTGAAGATGCAAATATTCTTCGTGACAGAGCCGAGGAGCAGAAAAGCAATCCTTGGTCAAGAAAGGGTGAGTTGAGCTCCTTTCTCTTGTTCCCTGGGTACTCGAGGATTTGGAACAGATTTCTATATTGTCTAATCAGGCTTTAGCACTGTCCACGTCCTTGTCTGAACTGCGTGAGTGGGATTGAAGACAGAGGTGCTTGTACAGTATTGTTCTGCTACAAAGCTCCTGCTGCACGAATTTTGGTAGTGGCCTTAATGTTCGGGCATTAATCTGGTCTTTGGTCCACCTGTGGAGTGTCTTTGAATGGAAAGAGCTGATGTGTGAATACTATTAATTGTATAATGGGTATTTGATTTACTGGAAGCTTAATGAAACTTGACTGAATACATAATGCTGTCAAAACCAATTTTGTTCTTTTGTTTTTAGTGGGGGGGAGAAGATAATATCTTTTCTTAGTCAACAGGTTGGCTTCAGGCCACATGCCATCAGGAAATACAGCTCAATAGAGGAAAGAACCTACATTAAAAAAATTACTTGCATCGATTTTTTGTCCTACAACCTTGATTTTGTCATTTCTAATTTGGGGTTAGATGAAATGCAAGCATCACCTAAATGTATAGCAAATCCTTACTTAGCTCTTCATGCTTGAATAATTAGACTGTGTTAGTTCAAGTACTTGTAATGGAATGTTGTCCCTGTCTACATCAATTAGTGTTAACTGATGTTAATTTCGCATTAATGTAAAAGGTAGAACTTTGGCAAGCATGGCCTTGCTAGGAAAAGCAATTAGGAAAATTTCTTAAGGATATTTAAATATTTTTTTGGTTGTTATTTAAAAAAATTAAGCATTGAAGCCAGAGCACTTGAAGCTCTTCCTTTTTTTTTTATACTGTTGGCTTCTAAGAATTACTTTAATATATTTGCATGCACACAAAGAATACCTTAGATTAAAGTATCAGGAGTTTAAATTTTGTCTTCAGTGTGAGAACATGGTTTAAATTGTCTACCTCTATAATTATTCCTTTAGAGGTTTTTAGCCTTGAACTTCTACAACACATGCTTTAGTTTCAGAACATTAAAACTACAGACCTTAAGATTTAAAGTAGTAAAATACCTTAATTTCCAAAAAAGAAAGCAGTTTAGTTTTAAAACTCAATTGTTTAAACAAATGCTGAGAATTCAGCCACAATTTGCAATCCTTCATTGTCCCTAAAATAGAAAATGTAATGAGGACCAAAGTGGATCTCTCCCAGGGACCTGGTGTCCTGCTGTTCAGGACAGAAGTGAGGATTACCCTCGTTACATTCTGACTGCCATAGCTGGGAGAATGGGGAAGCACTAAGCAAACCTTCCAACATACTCCCAGTGATGTCTCTTTTCTCCTAAGGTGCACTTCTGCAAGGTACTGAGTTCTGGCCCTGGCCTCTTCACATGCTGGAGTGAAATACCCACAGCACTGAGTGCTCAGCAGCCGCTCTTGGGTGCTCTCCAGACATCCCATCATCTGCTGCTTCATAAGTCACATCAATGTCACAACCAGTGGCAGATGATTGCTGCCTCCCTTTTTATTGATAGTAAGAAGTCTAAAATGTTTCTAAGGCCATTCAGGGAATACAGTTGAAACTTGTTTCCTGTATTATTTTCAATATTTGACTTCTGAATAAATGCTCAACCCAGAGTTTTTAGTTGGACTTCTGAGTAGTTAATTCCAATTCACAGTACCAAACCACTGTTGAATCAGCTCCTTTTTTAAATCCTTCTTCATTCCCAGCTGTGTACACCCAAAAGAACAGAACATGAAGAATGAGCATCAGTTCTGTTCTTACTTTTCCTACAGAATCCTCTGTGTGCATTCTGAAAAGAGTTATCACCCTTCTTCCTCCCCCTTTTCTCCTGTTCCCTGCATAGTCATATTTTTGTGTTTACCTTGTCACAGAGTGCTGGAATAGCAGTGCTTTTCCCAGAAGTGCCTTTGCAGTTTCTTTCCCTGTGCGTTCTTTAGAGTCAATCCTTATACTTTTTCCCAGTAAGCATTGCTGATAAGAGCAGTTAAAAATTCTGTTCTCAAAGTATTCTGGTATTTTTTTAGGGGCACATTAAATCAAGCTTAAAGTAAGGTCTACAGCAGAGCTGGCAACCATATGAAGTGATGGATGGAAAAGCAGTATGCCAAGCAGCATGTTCATGGCATATTTGCTGCCTCTGCAAAAAGAACTTCCTGGGTGGAAGAACTTAATGCTGGAGAGCAGCTGATCAGAGATTCTTTTGATAGGATTTTTGTGATTTCTCATGTGGGGGAAAATTCTCCCCTTGTGCCTGAACCCAAAATGTCTATTACAGAGAACTGTACATAGCAAACAAGTCTGTCAAAACAAGAGAAAGAATCATACGAGGGTTCTTTGTTTATTAGAGGGTTGAAATTATATTTAATGGTATTTTAATTAATGATAACAGACATTTAGAAAGAGATCTGATAGCAAATTTTCTGTGGCTTGTTTTAACTGAAAGCTACTCTCAAATTAGGGAGGGATTTAAAAAGCCCCTGGAAGAGGCCTGACTCACAGTAGCAGTAGAAAATCTGGGACATCATTTCAAATGTAAAATGATGTTTGGCTTGCAGGATGTTCTCCTTGCTTATTTAGTGAGTTTTGTCTTCCATTTGTTGTTCGTGTCCTTTAAGATTGTTCCTGATTTCTTTCTTTTTTCTCTATGACTTTTCTTTTTAACTTGTTGCAAGCTGATTCAATCTTTCTAATCTATACTCTGCTTTTACACTTTCCAGACTTTCTAATCTATGCTCTGCTTTTACACTTTCCAGACACAAGGGAAATCTCTTTCCAAACCTGAGGAAGTTAAATACAAACAAAGGACAATCGTTTACCATTGAGTACATTACAGCCTACCTTGGGATGACTTTGTACCTTCTATTGTAAAGCTCCATTTGTGTGAGACTTTTAAAGAACTACCTATGTTTGCAAGGCCAAACCATATTGAGCTTATTACTGAATCTGCTTTGTAGAAGGCAGTTCTGAGATGGAGAAGCTGGCTGTTCTGAATGAATGCACTCGATATTTGACTGTCCAATAAAGTGTACTGAATGCTGATCTTGGCTGTTAGCCTGTTCTTTGTGTGATGAATTAAGGGGTTTTTGAAAACAATGTTTTCTTAAAGGGACATGATCAGGTTGCATAATGCAAAGTTTTGATTTTTACCGAGCAATGAATGGACTTGTCTTGAAACCTGAGCACCAAATTATAGGCTTTCACTGGCATAAGAAGACTAAGAAATGAAACTGGTCTGTTTAGTTTTTAAACAGATACAAAAGAATCAAACAAACTCTGACTATGTCTCTTTAAGCTCTTTTGTTTCAATTCTCACATAGTTGACACTTTGTTACAAACTTATTTCCAGTTCTATTTTTTTTTGCATCCTGAGTTGGTTCTAGTGGTGAACTTGTGATGTACAGTTGGTATATAACTTTTCCTTTGTGAATTTGATGTTAGTGCATGTTTGCATGGTGGTTTAGCATCCCTGTTGCTTTGTGCTGTTAGTTTTTCATGACTTGTCTCAGCCGAATTTGAAGTGATGCATGACTGGGAAATACTGTTTTTCAGATCCTAAGGAGTTGGACCCATAGTGGTGTAAACAAGTCTTTAAAAGGGAGTTGTGAGTTGTGAAAAGAAAATAGTCATAAGTGGTCGTACATCTAAAAAGTGAGCTCTGACCACTTGAAATTAGCAAGTTATTTTCTTGCCTATATAAGACCAAATGTCTTATTCCACACGTGGTAATTCCACAGAGTCATGCTCCCTCTGGCACCTGTGTGTGTACCACCACCGGCCCTCTCAGCAGAGTGCTTTGAAGCAACACTTGACACTGTCCTTTTTATCCTTCACTGCTCCCCCAACGCTTGCTTTAAGCCACAGTTTCTTTTCTTATCACTGAAACGTGTAATGAAATCAGTAATTAAGAATATGGTTTCCTCATCTTAGTTTTTTGATGCCACATTAGACAATATGGGGGATTAATTATTGATCTTTTTTGTTAATTCTGATCCCAAATCTTAGCTTCTCACTTCAAATTTAAATGAGGATGATGATGATAAAAAGTATTTGGTGAATTTTTTGTTGCATGCATGCATTTTACTCTCTTTATTGTATTGAATGAATCCTTAGAAGGTGATGCAGAAGAGGTGGATGAGGTCACTGGAGCAGAGAAGGCCACGGAAGAGGCTGAGGCAGCAGCTGCTGTGGAACCTGCAGCACAGGAGGAGAGTGCTGGACCCACAGCACAGGATGAGAGTTCTGGGGTGCCCCCAGAAGCTGGAGGGGAGAATGACTTGCTGGCTCCAGAGGAATCCCATGCTGTGGAGGAGGCACAGCAGGAAGCTGCTGCTAATTCAGAAGCTGATGCTAATTTGGAACTTGCTGATAATTCAGAAGCTGCTGCAGTTCAAGGTTAATTTATGAATGTAGTTTTTGAATGTGTGTGTGTTGTGGGTTCTAAAGCTCTGCCTCTTACAGAACACTGAGAATGAGCATCAGTGTTCCTAATGGAGTTTGTCCTGCAGTGAAAACTAATTCAGGCATTAAGATTGACATATCATGAGCATAAGGTAATTAAGTTTATTAAATCAGTGTCTCTAAAAGCATCCCACCTCTGGCACCAGAGATACTGTTTATAACAAGTAGAGTCAAATGTTTTATTTCTTTACCCCATCCTATTTCTTAAGATATTAAGTTGAGCTTATAACATGATCAGTTAAGCAATTGTTTAGTGATGTAGTTCTCAAGGGTTTTTTAAGGAATCTAAACTCTTTAGTTCACTAGCCACTCCAAAGATATTCACACTGAATAATTATATCTGTTCTATCAATGTAAGTTAAACAGGATCTTGCATAGCAAAGGAAATGCTGTCATGGTCTCAATTCTAAGGATATATTAGACTAAATCTTCACAATACAATAAAACTTCAAATTGTTGTTAAACACTGAAATTGGTAAGTGGCAAAACATTCAGTATTTTGAGCTGTCAGGGTGTTTGAAATATTTTGGTTTATTGTGCTTTTCAAAAAATTGCAATAATACAAATGCAAAACTATCCATAAAATGTACAAGATACAGGATTGTAATTTAATTTTAGATTTTAAAGGTTTTTTTAAAATTTTCTTTTTACTGCTAGTTTTGAGAGGATATGTCTAAAACACAGATCAAACTGAGATTAAAAATATTTTGACTGCTAATCTATGGCGTTTATCACAGTACCATCAAAGGCATTAGCAGATTTGGAATGATTTTCATTTTTTTCTTGGTGACTCCGGTGAGGAATGGATGCATCTTAATTGCCTTTTTAACAAATAAACTTGAGAAATAGTGCAGCACTTCTAATTGCTGAGTTTTATGAAAGGTCTGTGTATGAATGTGATTTTAATTCAAATGTGATTAGTTCCTGTGCTTGTCTCTGAAACCATCTATTACAAATAACATTTTAAAACAATTCCTAGTGTGAACTGCTGTAATACAGTTTATAGAAAGTAGAAGTAAGTACCTTGGCTGTGATTATTACTGCTTACAAATAGAAATATTTATAAGGTAGTAGTTAAAATACCTAGAGCCCTAAAAATTTCCATTTCTAAGGAAGTAGTCTGTTTTATGTTAAATTTGGTGAATTAGAGCCATTAAGAGATATGTTTAAAAATGTATTGCAGCATTTCTTGCTCTAGAGAGCAATTGCAAAATTTCCCTTTAATTTCCTAAGCACTTGCTTGTATCTGGAGGTGTTGTGTATTCCTTTGACAGTGCTTATCTATGAATAACTGTCCATGGTTGGATAAGGTAGGATCTGCTATATGGTAAATATTTCTGCCATTTCAGACAGTTAACAATGGTACCTGCCTGGAATGTTCTCCTTGCCTCAAGTTAGGCAATTTACAATCCACAATTCCAATCTGGAATTCTGTGAAATACTGTTACCAAAATGAGTACTGAACTATATTACTCTGTTCCCAAGGTTTTAACTTCCTCTAAATTCTAATTCTCTCTACCTTTTTATTGCTTGAATTGTCACTCTTGGTTACTGGATAAATTCCTGTTGCTCTCCTTTCACAGTGTAGTCTGTGTGTGGGACCATAAATTAAATTTTTCTTCAGACAAACCAAATGCTGTAAAATTCACCGATTGGCAAACTGCTGTTTGGATTAGGCATCTGTGACTTCTGGTGTTTGGGTTGCCACCATAAATTCTTCTCCAGCTCTGGTATTGAGGCTTGAGGTTCTGGCATTATCAACTGAAATAAGAGAAGCAATTAGCCCCAAACTGTGCTTTTCCAGATTTCTTCCTGACTTCACTAACAGGTTTTTTCCCTATTCTTTAAAGTATTGAAGGACATGGTCTCTGTTTGTTATTTCCAAGGCCATTTGAGTAAGTGCCTGGGTTTGGGGAGGATTAGTGAGTGGATTGAATGTGCCAGTGTGTTCCATGCTGAGCTTCAAACACGCTGCAATGGCAGCTGTGTGCAGCCTAGAGAAACAAGTGGAGGCTGCTCTGCACAGGAGCTGCTGCTCTGGGACAGGACTTTGCTGAGCCCATCATGCAGTGGTGCCAGGCAGACAAAAGCACTGATAGAATCAGTGCACGCTGGCTTGGCTTGGTGCACTACCAAATTCTGGGTGTGCTGACACTGGTGGCACTTAGAAAATTACTGAAGAGTCCTCAGGGTTATTTGCAATTGCTCATAATTATTGAGAGGCTTTCAGAATGATGTTGCTCAGTAGAACAGGCACACCATTCTAGGCATCTGTTTGTGTGAGGTGGAGGAATGAGCACTTTTTCTCTTTACTGATTATGATAGACTGATCTAACTAAATTAGGCCCTCAGAAGTTGAATTATGTAAATATTATCATATGGGGAAATATCTGTATCTGGAACTGCTGTTGGGTAGTTCTGTTTCACATTTATCACTTTCTTTTATCTGTCTCTTGGACTGCTGATTGCCTTACCGGATTGCCATACACTGGCCACTAGTCTCTTCTTCTTCCTCCTGATTTTCCTTCATAAAACTGAGTTTTAGATGAGTCATCATAGCATAACTGGAAAATCTCTGTTGGAAGAAAGTGAACAATATTTAGAAAAAAAAATCTGTAAAAGTTGTGAGCATTGAAGAGCTCACAAGAGCTGAGAGTTGAAGACCCAGCTGGTCCATGGAGAGTCTGTTCAGTTTTGATCAGCGTAGCCAAATAGAATTTTACAGCATGCACTGGGCTGGGGAGGAAGATTTTGGTAAAATGGAAAAACCCCTAGAAGTTCCCAGCTGAGTGCAAACAAATAAGTGGGAGAGAACTGCCTAAAATAACTGTCTTCCTATTTGTCTATTCTAGAACAAGGGGCAAGCAGCTTCTCAAAAATGGTAGAAGGACATACAGTGAATAGCAATGCCTAAATGAATGTCACTATTAATGAGAAAATAGATGCTTTTACTAGTATTAATAGCTCATTGCCAAGACTTAAAAAAACCCTTAAAAAATAACTGTATGTATTTAAATTGGAAAGCAACAACTCACTTTGTACAACAAAATCTGTTAGCATTTAACTTACTGTACATAGTATTACCTGTGTTTGAAATTTTCCTGTAAATATAACCACCATTGGAATATTTTTAGTCTCCTACTTTAGAGAAAAGACAGCAACAGGGACCCCTTGCTGTTTTCCTATGGTGGCAGTTGAAACCAGAATGGGAACGATGGGGATTTTGAAATTAATTTTTGGGCAATGTTTCCTGTAGCAGAGAAAAACATCCTTTTCAAACAGCAACTTTGCTCCTTTAAAAACTGTGGATAAAGTGGATAAAACTTGATGCATTACTTTGTATGAGGAATGTTAAAGAAAATGTCTTGATTAGAAGTGTTTTTAGAACTCCCAAAGGATTTAATACATCAAATTATTAGGGTGCTTTTCATACACATGGTTTATATTAACTTATGCTAGTTTTCCTTGTGATCCATTCCAATCAGTAACTAAAGATTGTTCCATGTTTAAAGCAAACAAACAAACAATGTGAGTTGCTTCTCATTGCTACAATTCCATGCTACAGAATATAAAACAATATTCTTGAAATGTCTGAGGTATTACAAACTATTCTGGATTAATGTGACATGCACTGTTATGCTTTTATTGTGACCATTATAGGGATCTCTGAATCTTTTTCTGATAAATGGCTGGAGAATAAACTCTCTTCAAGGGAACCTTCTGATCATTAGTAAGAGCTAATGAGGCTTTTCTTGGGAGCTAGTGACCTACATCAGACACAAACAACCTGTGATGTGCTTGGCTCATTGAACACGTTTCTCTTTCTGTATGGAGTGGTGAAAATTTTTATTCTTCATAATGGGCTTCATAATGCCATGATTTAGGCTCTCAGCTAGACTTCGTGGATTTTTATCTGGATTGCTTGTGGATGGCTTGCAAAAAGGAAAATATGTCATATTTGTGTAGTGGCAGGTTTATGAGAAATCCCAGCTTTCCTTTGCTCATCAGTTTCCCAAAGACCTTGGGCTCTGAGCCTTTGGTTTGTGTTCGTCCTATGGAATATCTGGAATGCCAGAGGGACTGAACTCCTGATGCCCATGGGCTGGAGTGAGGGAGGGCTGGGGTTGAGCTGCCCTCATGTTGTGTCCCAGTACCAGCATGGTCAGGGCAGGTGGTTCCACACACAGCTCAGCAGCTGCCAGCCACGAGTTCCTGTCCTGTGCATTCAAGGATGGGAACGATCAGACTGAAAAATAATCAGTGCTTTTCTAAGTAATTGTTCTTGCCTTGACTCTGCTTGGAACTAAAACGTTTATTTTTCCCTGTGTGGAGCTCAAGTGCTGATTTCACAGTATTGCACAGAGGCATTAGTCTGTGGTCAACCACCCAGGACCTTTTTTCTTTTTTAAGGCCAGTGTAGGTGTCAAGTGGTTTTTCTTTCCAAGCAATAAGTTGAGTAACTTGCTCTAGCTGGTGGGAATCCTAAATGTTCACTGAATAAAAAGCCAGAGAGGAGACAGAGAACATTTCAGATGGTCCTGAGAGACATTCCTGGTGATGGGATGTTCCTGATGGGCGTCTGCAAGCCCTCCATGCTGAGCTCCCTGGATCTTCCTGGCCAATGGCACCTGAAGCACTTGGTCGTGTTACAGGGACAGCTGCATAGCTTTGCCTGTTTTGTCACAAACTGTATCAGTGATTATTATTTCCCCCTGTTTCTTTTGATGTGGTTTGAGCCCCCATGAACAGAGGGAGAAGGTGTGGAGCCCAAGCTTCTTGTGCTCTGTTTTGCAGGTTTTCTCAAAGAAATCCTTGAATTACTTTTCCAGCGTGACGGAATTTGACTCTTTAAAAGTCAATTCTATTCCACTGCCAGTTTTCCATTAGCAGGTCTTTAAACTATTAAAATGAACCAGGAATATTCTGCTCTGCTTATCTTAACATTTCAGGGGACATCCTGAGACCTTCAATGGACCTGACTGAGGAAGCTTTCTGTAAACAAAAGCATCACATTCTAATGTGAGATGGTCTCTAAAAGACTGTAAATAAAATGCTGTTTCTAATTTCACAGTTAAATTTGACTTTCCCCCTCCTCCCTGCCCACCTTTGGAATTAGTGTGTGACATTGGTTATGCTTCAAGGCAGCTTGAATTATCAAAGCCTTGTTTTGCACTCCAGCTTTGGTTTGCGTGCTCCAGGTGGATTCCATTTGTATGATGCTGGATAACTTGTGTTATTTTAGCTTTATAAAACCAAATTCTTCTGCAAAGAATATTTTTAAAGTAATGGAACCTGGTGTTTGGCATTACAGATACCAGCCTCATCTTGACTGCCTAGAAAAAAAAAATCATCATATGAAGGATACTGCTTCAAGTAAAGTGATTCACTCAGAAAAGTGTATTTTTAAATACCTTTAAAAATTGCAGGATACCAGTGCCTGTTTGATTTTTTTTGTTGTTGTTTCTAAATGGAAAGATCACTTTTAAATGAATCAAAGAATTAGGATTAGAATCAAAATATGTTAGCTTTAAATGGGTTGGTAAGGAAATGCAAAACTGAGGGAAGAAACACAGGCTGAAGTCCTGAGAAGGCTGGGTTATCTTGTATAACCTCATCATAAAACTTCTGTCCTGCTGGAAGGAATCCCCACCTCTCCCCTAGCAAGGAAAAGACTGAATACAGCTTTCATTTTAAAATCTGGAACAGCTGTCTTCTTAATCTCTATTGTAAATCAGGAAAACATACTTAGAAAACCATTTAAAAATACAAGGTAGAAGATTAAAATCCAGTAAGATTTAAAAAAATAATATACAAATTAGTTTGTATCTCTTCCACCTTCTTGTTTCAAGGTCATCTTATATCATGTTTTCTACTGGGTTGTAGGACATGATTGCCACTGTAAGCTGGCACTAGGGCTTTACATCCCATACAAAACCCCAGGCTGTTTCTGCATAAAAACTGCCCCAGGAAAGTTGGAAAGCTTGCTTTAAAAGCTTGAAGGCTTTTGGGGAAGAGGCTGTGCAAGCAGTAGGATCTGGGTTCTGGGAGTCAGTGCACTTGCATGGGGTTCCCTTTATTATTAGCAGGAGAAAGTCAATCTGGGCGTGTTATTTTTATTATCAGCTGCAGCAGGGATGAGTCAGTCACATAGGGCACACAAGCCCCTGCTTATCTTGTCGCTCTGTTCTGCTGAGCTCACAAATATTCACACAATTCAAACTGACCATCACGAGCATGCAGAATCACCCTGCATTTGGGCTGCTTTCCACTCTAAGTGCACAGAAGTGTGTAACTCTGCACTCACTCTCAGGGCTGCAAGTTCAGAGCTTGTAAAAATTGTCTTTAAAGACTGCAGGAATTACTGCTTTACATAGGAAGCAGGTTTTCATGGGTTTTCTTTCACTGAAATTATAGGGATGGTTTCCTAAAAATGACATTTCTAGGTGAAATGTTGGATATTGTGCTAATAAGCTACTGGAGCTTCTTGCCCAGCCGTGTTCTGTTCCTGCAAGTGCAGTTTGGGAGGCTGCATTTCTTCTCTACATGGTTCTCTCCTAAAGCAGAGGAGCTCAGGACTGCCTGGGAATTCCTGTAGCTCTTGGGGATGCTTGCCCTCAAAACCCCTGCTGTGTCCAAGTCCTGAGTGCTTTGGCAACAGCTGTTGGTGCAATACGCCATGCCGCGTGGCTACAGTTAGCAAATGTGATTAGTTTGACTCCTCTAAGGCTTTAAGTTCTTTTATATTGTCTTTTGTTGAAACCACGGGAAAGTTAAAGTCCTAATTCAGACCTGTAAGTGCTATGGTATACCTAAATGCCTGGCAAAATTGAAGAAAGCTGTAGCCAGCAATACTGGGATGCAGCTACTTATCCCAGGAGAAAATTGAAAATTGACAAATAGCCAGTGAAAAAGCTCAAGAGAAAAAAAAAAAAACTTTCAGAAAAAAAATATATATATGCAGAGGGTGAGATTTTTTGCTAGCAATATAGCACCTTGTATGAAACTGTGAAGTAATCCTTGTGTATACTGTAGAGCAATATTCTGTAAATTCTGTAGAGTAATAGATCCTGCTAGGATGGGGGGAATCATAGCACACCAAATGAAGCAGGAATATAGTGAAGCCATGTAACTCCAGTGCTTTTGATGAAGAATATGTGTGTGCAGGGGGAGGTTTCCCCCAGAGAATGAAGAAGGAGCCCAATGAGCCCCACTTTTGTGGATATGAAGGGAAACAAAATAATTTGTGGCAGGGTTTAAATTGTATGGATCAGGATGGAATTTTCCCTTGGCTGAGATCGATTTGGCAGGAATGCTGCAGGTGGGTGTTTTGGTGAAGATGTCAAGGAGCTGGAGTGGTATTGTTCTATAAGGATAATACAGCAGCTGGGCATTCAGTGGAAAGGATAACATTAAAATACCATGTGTCCTCATTGCAGGGAAGCAGTTGCACAATTCAGATTGTTTTGTTAACTTACAGCCTGTGGAAATTGTAAGAAATCTGGCATAAACAGACAAAATGGATCATAGTCATCACTGCATGAAGAAATGCAGGGACTTCAGGTTTTCAAACTAATCATCATTCAGGAAACAACACAGAACCCAGTGAAGATGCTGTAACTCCTCTACAAATATTTTGAAAAAAATAAAGAAGCCTAATATTTTAGTATTTGAACTAACAAAAATTAGGAGTGATTTTAGTTGCCTCCATTATTTGCTGCAGAGTTCATGAAAGGCTTATTAACAATAATTTAACAGACAGAAAATCCTTCATCCAAGGATTATGGAAAATGAGTCACCATTGTACCAGGCAGAGATTAAAGTATCTTGTATGAAATAGGGTGTTACTGCAGGATTTTACATGGAGCAATTGCAAGAGATTAAACTGGATTGAAAAACTATGAAATGCATGCAGATTTAAAAAAAAAAAGATAGAGGGTGTGAATAGCACTGGGAAACAGGGAAACACAAAGGAGAAATGCCTAAACTCTGTCACACTTTGCATATTTTTTCATTAGATTGCCTTTCTGATTGCCATAAGGTTCAGACCAGAGACAATTTTTTCAGTACAAGTGGTTAATGTTTGGTTTTAAGGCAGGTATTCATGTAGAAGACAAATACACATAATTCCCATCCAAAGGAAATTAGGTTTTGTTAAAAAGCAGAAATGACTGTGGTGCTCCCTCTAGTTGCCTACTGATCTACTCTTCTTAGTGCAAAAGAAATTAGAATACTCACAAGGAAAAAAAATTAAATACTATCAGCCAGAGAAAGAACTTTTGGTAATATAAGCTGAATGTTTGATGCTACAAACTGAAACCTAGCAGCTTGTTACCATAGCAAATATGTGGCATTACATCAAGTATTGCTTGCTGTAAAAATATCTAAAGTTCCAAATTTCAAATGTACTATTTCTATTGCATGGCTTTTCCCTATAAAGGCAAAAGTGCCAATTCCTGAGCATTTCTTTTCCTGTTGCTTCTTCAAAATCCAGAAAGTATTCTGAAAAGTAAAGTGAAATAATTGATGTTCAGAATATGCTGTATTTAACTAGGGTGATGTGTTCTCTGTATGGAGACTGCCTACTACTAAATATTACCTGTTACGGGCTTTTTATAGAGACAGAGGGCTTTATGATTTATGGAGTATTGAAAAATGGCCAGCTGGCCATTGCAGCCTGAATCTTCAGCCTGATGCTAGAATATTTTTACATTAAAACTACCCATGATGTCTTTCCAAGGTTACGTGTAGTGTAGATGTAATGTCCTACGAATTAGACAGAAATCAGAAAACAAAGCAACAGTATCTGCAAGAGATAATTTATACATTAGAGAATATTTGCCTATGTCTATATGCATGAAAATAGTTCCATCTGTGGTGCAGTAGAAGGAGGCTGCTAAATTTGATCGTGGCAGTGGGGTGAGCTCAGCGCCCTGCTCAGTAAGTGGCTGGATGTGAACTTCATTAAGAACAAAAAATTCCCCTTGTGCTGCATACAACACATTTTATCAACATCTGCCTTGATTTGAAAGACAGAATTTTCCTAAATCGCATTGGTGTAAAGAAAAATATGGTGCATGATTATATTGTTCTGTCTTAGGGAAGCAAACCAAATCTGTCACTTGATATGAAATCTTAGAAGTGTGGTTTCACCAGAAAAGTCAAGCAGGTTCTAATATCTTAGAAAAGGTAATAAATCCTTTAGAAGTAGCAAGGGTGTACACACAAAAAAAACCCACAAAAAACAACAAAAAAAAAACCAACAACAAAAAACAAACAAACAAACAAAAAACAACAACAACAAAAAACCAAAAAAGCCAACCCAAAAGTATTACTTGCAATGCAAAATTCACCAAAAAATGGACCAGAAAGATGAGGAATTAATTACCGTGACTAGCAAGCAGTAAAATAATTTTTAGAAGAATTTTGCCTCTCTAAACCTAAAGTTAGAGCTGTCAGAATAGATTGTAAAAGGTCTTATGTTAGAAAGTGTGAATGGTATGAATAAAGCTTGCAGTGCTTTAATGCAACTATAAACAATCTGATAAACAATTGCTTTTGAAGTTGAGTGATGTAATTGAATGCAAAGAAAAATGTGTGTTAGAATCATCACTGTTGAGATTTTAAGCAGGAGTTTAGAAGGTCTGGCCTCTAAACTCTTTTAAAATTAGAATTAAAAAGATAAAAGGAAAAATGCCTGCATACCTAATATAGCTTTGTAAATTCTATCCCTTTAGTCCAAGGATCCTTTGGACTAAGGGAAACAACTTGGTTGACTATTTGCCATTGAAGAAATAATTTCCAGTGTTTCTCATTGGTGTTTTGTCTCCATTTGCAGCTTCTGATGAGGAGAAGACAACTGAAGAGGTTGCTAAAGAGCCCTAAAGGTACACAGTACAACTGCAGCATGTGGTTTTCTGCTCTTCACCCATCTTTTGTTCTCAGTTAGTGGCAGCTGCAGTATGTGGTAAATGCTCACACACTGTTATGGTGAATTTGTATTTCTGCTCTCAACAAAAAGTAACTTTATTGAAGTATTTCGTATTTTTTGGGAACCACTGCCGGCATCTTTAAGGGGCTAGGGAGCAAATCCTATATAAATTGTCACAGTGTGTGTTTATTTATAGCTTTATCTTAGTCCCATGCAAACTGGATAAAGACCTGAGAGTTGTAGCTTTCTTCCAAGCAAAAAACGTCCTTTGGATATTTGGTTTAAATTATATGCAGCTACTGGACTTCTGGAATCTTGTTCTATGCAATAAAGCAATAGCCCCCTGCACTGTTTTATTTTAAATAAATTCTTTCATTATTAGTCTCTCTGCACTTGCAATTTGTGCTAATGAAAAATACTGAATATCCTTTCTATTTTGCTAGTGTCTTTCTTATGTGGCTTTATCTATTATTTTATTGTCAGAAAAGTTGCAAGCGTGTGCCTCTCAAGGTTTTTATTTTTGCTCAAACTGAAAGCCAAGAGCACCTTAGGGCACCACATCAGAAAACCAAATGACCAAGAAATTCTTTCTGCTCTGGAACACATAAATGTTGTGGTATAAAGAAGGCAAATAGATGAAAAAATAGATTAATCTCCTAATAGTGTACAGGTTCACTCAATTCTGCTTCAACTGCTTGGACTCTTTTTGACAAAAAAAACAAAACTTTTTATGAGTATACCAACACAAGTTTACAAAAGGGCCTCCCATTGACTTTCAATTTGATCTTGTTGGCAGGGAGAAGATGATTTATGAAATATTTTACCATTTGGTGCTGGGAGATTACTGGTCGTTTGACCAGTTTGCAAGTCTCAAACCACACTGTATTCCTAGTCAGGAAATCATTATTTCTTTTTTTTCTTTTTTTTTTCTTTTTTTTTTTTTCTTCTTTTTTTTTTTTTTTTTTGTGGTTTTTTTTTTTTTGGTGTTTTGATTGTAAACACTTAGGAGTATGAAGCTCAACTCTGACTTTGCATTAAAACACATCGTACTTTTTAAGGAATTCAAGGCAAAGAAAATGAAATTAAAGAATGTTGACATGAGAATCAAATCACTATCTAGCTAACTTTTTTTAAAAAAATAACTGCTTATTTGGTGAAGGGATAGAGGAAGTAGTAGTGGATTAAATCCTCAGATAAAGCCCTAAACTGATGCTCAGAGCATGCCTGAGTAAAGATGTTCAGCCATTCTCCTGAGTGTGGCTATTGGGCCCCTATTGATGCTGCTTTGGAACTACTTGTATCAGTAATCTCAGCACATACAACTGGTTTACCCTGTGCTTAAATTTAAGCATGTAACTATTTGTAGAAGTCCAGCATGCAGGGGAATTCACTTGTGCCTGAGCCATGTGGGTGAACGTGAGGGATTCCTTGGAACTGGGCTCTGGTGATGGCAGCAGAGCAAGTTTCCCTGAGCCATCAGACTAGCATGATTCACACATCAGTGCTGTGTGTACTCTGTACTTCACTGTAACCTGCAGTCAAAGTCACAGTGTGCTTTGAATGTTTGCAAAGAAAATGACCTGCTGAACGGTGTCTGTTGCTAAACACCATTTATTGCTGCTTACTCTAAATGAGATTTTCTTTTTTTCTTTTACCCAGTAAGCAGTGTGGACACCTTTGGAAAGTTTAATGCAAATATTTGTGGCAATCAACCAGCTGATTCCTGTGTGAAACCTCATCATACTCTTCCTTGGAGACATCAAAGAAACTGTGCAGTTTGTCCTACCACACACTGGCCATTCTGGCCAGTATTATCCAGTGCTGCAAGAGATGACTTGTGCTGCCTAGAGAAACGCTTCTGTGACTAACAACTCTGCTGTAGAGAGTAGCATCCAGCCAAACCACTCAGCATGCCCTAAATACCTGTGCTAAGAGAAGCAGTATGATGCCAGATGAACTCCTTCTATGTCATTGCTGTCCCGATGTGTACATTGATTTCTTCCTTTTGGCCCAAACTGTTGTGCGTAGTTATACATTTGTAACATCCCATGCTAAAATGTAAGCAAAAGGTTAAGCCAAAATATTATAAAAGTACCTGTTAGCATTTCTAAATTAGATCACAGGGAAAATAACGTGTTTGCTCCTGAGTTTGGATTTGTGATTGTGAGCATAGGACATCTGGTTCCACATGACCTCATTTTCCCCCTGCATAAACATTTCAGATGCTACCACTCCTTGCACAGTAACATCCAGGAGTAAACCCATTGCAGCCATCACAGAATGGCAATGGTTCTAAATCAGAGCCAAATAAGCCAAATAGTACATTATGTACTATTTGTACAGGAAGTGTGTTTCACAAGGTGTGTCTGACTCTTCTCTTCAAGCAGAAGTTTGGAAAATGTTGAAAGAGAAACAACAGCATCCTCCTACACATGGCACAAAGCAACCCATGCTCCTTCCCCCATCCTAAAGCAAATTACAACAGTGTTCCAACAGAGATATAGCCTATTGCTCCTGGATCTACTTAGGAATAACTGGAATAATGCAGATGCAAAAGCAGGCTCCCAAGCTTCAAGAAGACAAACCACAGCCTTCTGCTTGAAGGATAAGGCCTCTGTGATTAAAAGCAATTTGTGTAGACCAAGCTACTGGAATAAAAATCTTAGACTGATATTTTGTTGGACAAGAGTCTATGTTTGTCTTGTGGATTAAAAATGCTGTGATGGATGTATGCACTTAAATGTTCTATTTATTCATTTTCACTAATTCCTAGTAAAAGAAGCTGTTTTAACTGGATCTAACAGTAGGGTTTCTGGTAAAATGTAAGCTTTTCTGAATGGCTCTTTATCTCTGGAACTGCTCTGGTACATGGCAAAGTATGTCAGCCCTCTGAACAGCTGCCTGAATGACTGATTCGCAACCTATGGTTTCCAAAGCTTTTCGTCCTTTCCATTTCAAAAAACGGTGAGAGTCCCAAAACAGCCTGTCCAAGCTTTATGCCAGAGTTCTTCTTTTTTTACTTTTGTTTTGTTTAGGTTTTTTTTTAATTAAAAAAAAAAAAAAAAAGACGTGCAGCACAGCATGGTCTGCTTCAGCACTTGAATATTTTAGAGTAACAACAGTGATATTTTGCAATTTGCAGAGGTCTGGCCATTGTTTATTCAGCCTTGCTAGTATGGAGTCTGAATAACACATGAATTAAAATTTTTCTGTCCTTCAATTCCAAAAAGTGAATTTTTGGGTTGCTACACAAAGGCTGTGACGAACCATGGAAAATTTTGAAATATATTGTTGAAATGGATCATAAAGGAGAGTAATGCCACAGCAGAGAACAGACACCATGCAAGACTAAAGGACAGGAGATTGGGGGAAAGGTTTGGTCTTGACAATACACTTCATAGGCCACAGCAAAGCTTGAGATTCCAGAATTTGTCCAAACAGCACGTTGCTCCTTTGCTGTCAGGAACTATCTGTGAGAACAGCTGGCAAGGATTTTCACCTCCCTTTAGTGCCAGTGAGCCCCTCTAGTTCACCTCTCTGAAAGCATGAACTACAGGTAATTAAACAGTGTGTTGAAACAGCATGGTTTGTGTGGAGAGTTTTTGTGCAGACGTGGCTTGAGGAAAAAGGCCATGATCATATACAGTTGGTTAAGCAGTAAAAAGCAGCTGTAAGCAGTAAGTTCTCAGCCCTTTCCTTACGAGAAAAACAACAACACTGCGTCCTTGAGCAAATAACAAGAAAAACACGGTGAAAAACATGGTGCCCTTGAATGTAGTCAACAGCAGGATGTAAAAATAAGTATTAGCCTCAACAAGAAAACCACAAGTATTTTGAGAATGTAGCCACAAAGGAGGGGTTGACATGTAATCTATAACCAATGATGAGCTTAGCTTTTGCAATATGTCTGAGCTTAATTAACACTACTATAAAAGTATGTAAGCTGGATCAATAAATTTGAGACCAATGATCATCAATAGGATGTGCTCGTCTCCCTTCACTTCCATCAGGTTTGCTTGTGGTTTACTGAGAGAAACCAATTTATTTTTTATTTATGCCTCAACATATGTTATAAGTCCATTTTATGACATGGGGTTGATGCCTCAGGTTTGAGCTTTTATATTTTTCAGATTCTGTGCTGCTTTAGTGCGGGGGTCTGGGCTTCATATTAGGGGATGGTAGGCTGGGATACGTGAGGGGGAAGGAGACCGCCGACATCACAGGCTCTAAACAGGCTTTTTTAGTGATAAATAGTTTTCCTTTAGAATTAAAAACTTTCACGTCTTAGAGATCTTCAAAAATATATATGTGTAAGCTCTGCTTGTGCCCTAGGAAAAGTGTTAAAATTGTTGTGGTTGCTGTGTTTCCCCTCAGGAAGTTCAGCTGCCAATGTGTTTTCTTCTCAGTTCAGCATTGACTGTGGTATGCAAACCAATTAAAGAGGGAAATACAGAGAAGCAAAGAGGAAAGGCAGTAATATGCGTGAAAATCATATTTGCACTATAACACAAATTACTTAGGCCCATGGGGTTCATTGATCATTCTCCCACAATATGAGATTTTTTTTCCTGGCTTCCTTCTTCCTGCATAAGGCTATGTTCTTTCTGAGTGGTTAGTGGGAAATGTTGTTATCCAGTGAGGGCTAATTGAGCATAATTAACCATTGGGTAACTCACATCATCAAGCAGAAGAGGGCAGTAAATCAAAAGCAGCAAGGCTGCTAAAACCTGGGACAGAGAAAGACTCCCTCATCCCCAAACCCTGGAGCTTAACAATACAGGAGAAATTCATAATGTGTGCTTTTTTCCCACTGAAGAAAATTGGCTTGAGTTTTTTGTTTGTTTTGGATTTTTGTGTTTGTTTGCTTGTTTTTATTTGTTGTTTGTAGAAAATCCAAAACACAAAAATGCTTTCATTCTGCTGTTTTAGTAGGTGACTAATTTCCAATGCAACCTGTTCACTGTTGGGCTCTTATGAAGTGAAAGGAGTCAAACTGGGATTAAGTGCTCAAGGCTTTACAGTTCTTGCCTCTGGGAACACAATGCTGCTGGATGTGAGTGTCTTTGCTACCATTTAAATTATTAATGAATTCTATGAAATCAAAATCACGTCAGCCTCACCTCTCCTCACTTACTACAAGTACTGGCAGCAGCAGGAAGCCACACAAAGCACCAGTTCTAGTTACAAACAAAGAGAAAGGGACACTTTAAAGTGTCTGAAGTTGTTACTTTATGAGAAGCCTTTAATGGCTTGATTTCTACCCCACTGCCTTTCTGCACGCCTCTTCCCAGAGTCTTGTGTTCTATACCAGTTCTGAGATATCCTCACTCACCACTGTCAACGTGAATTGGCTGCTCCTAAATCAAAAGTAGTTTTCAATGCTGAAGTACAATGCTATGGAAATTAAAAGGTCCTTGAGGACAATTATTTTGTATTTTTTCTTTAAACCAAAACAACGGAAAATAAACTGGCTAATCTCTGTATGGAATTTCTTCTTCACAATTTTCAGACAGTTTCCCTGTATAAGAAGTGGGCGTTGTGTTATGTGCTACCTCTAAATTAAGAAAAGCAACATGCCATATATATCCCATGTATTTTCTAAGTGAAAATGAGGTAAAGTCCTCTTTCATACTGATTCTTTTTCTTTCTAAAATATTTCAACTGCTGTATTTTAAAGTCTCACATACAGCAAAAAAAACCCACTTAGTCCTTTATTTCTATGTAATTCTTTCTTTTTAAAAGCAGTATAAATTTATTCAAGAATAAAATTCTGCCTGAAACAGGTTTGTTTTGGCATTGCATTGTTCCCCTGCTCAAATCATGTAACTCCTATGTATTTAGTGGTGATACAACCCCTGCTGAGTATCAAAAGGTTCTTGACCTTACCGACTTTGCTTCTAAAGCCATTGGCCAAGGGAGCTGGGTGGTTACCATTCACAGCCAGTCAGGTTCAAATGCAGAGTGTGAAAAATGCATGTATTTCATTATTGGCTTTTCACAAATAGTAAAATGAATATTATATGTGTTGTGTTAGAAAGTAATGCTGTATTAATTCTCTTAAGTAGTGTGGTAAATATAGTTTTAGGTTATCAAAATTGTTAAAATAGAAACTATGCTATGTAAGATGCTTTTTTAAAAGAAAGGACTTGCAGCGAGATAGCAGCAACAGGACACATGAATCTTTCAGAGAAAAAGAATTTATTGCCCTCTTATCAGCAGAAACGAACTTCTTCCCGCCTCGAAGGCGCTGTAACGATTAGAAGGAAGAAGTTGACGATGATCAGACAGAATCCTGTGTTTGAATGGAATTTATGCATCATGTATGAGATGTATGAATATGCAACAGGTTATTGTTTTTAAGGGTTAATCCTCTGTTCAGGGGTGTCCTTTTTCGGGCTCGTGCTGCTCAGAAAAAGGTACCCGGACGTCCGTAACTCTTTGTTCTTATTGTCTCATATTGTCCTAATTCAATTTGTCCAAATTACTATTACTCTAATTGTATTACTACTTTTTAAATAACGATTTTATCACTATTAAACTTTTAAAAACAAGTGATTGGCCTTTTCCACACAGCGCATCTCGTACTGCCAGGGAACAACAAGAACTGGATGAGGAATTTGCCTGGTTCCACACCCAGCGCTCTGTGAGCAGGCGGGGTACAGCTGCGGGCCGGCATTTCAGCACTGCGCTGCCAGGACACTGCCCGCATGGGTTCTGCACGCCCGAGGCTCCGCAGCCGGCCCGACACGGCGGCAGAACCGCGGCGGGGCAGCCCCGCGCCCGCGGCCCGGAGCGCGGTGAGGGCGCAGGCACCTGTTCGACACAGCGGCGGGGCAGCGGCACCCTGGGCCGCTCCTCCCCGCAGCCTGCCCGCGTCCCGAGTACGGGCTGCCCTCGGCTCGGGGCACGGCGGCGGGGAGCAGGGGCGGCTGAGGGGCGGCGGAGGGGACGCTGAGGGGCGGCGGAGGGCCCGTTGCGGGGACGCTGAGGGGCGGCTGAGGGGACGCCGCTCCGCGGGATCGCCTCGCCACCGCTCCGGGGCGCGGGCGAGCCCCGCGCAGGCGCGGAGCGGCCGCGCATGCCCGCAGCGCCCCCGCGCGCCCGGCGGCGGCGGCGGCGGCGGCGGCGGCGGGGCGAGGGGGGGGGCCGGGCCGGGCAGGTCGCGCGCTGCGCCCCCGCCCCTCCCGCGCGGGGCGGCCCCGGCCCGGCCCGGCCCCGGCCCGGCTCTGCCCGGGCGGCGCCGCCGCTTCCTGCTCCCGGCCCGGGCGGGCCACGGACGCGGCCTCCCGAAGCACGGCCACGGTAAGGGCGCGGTGTCGGCTCCTGCCGCCGCCGCCGCCGCCGCGGCGGGCGGGCGGGCGCTGACAGGCGGCAGCTGCCCTGGCAAGGGGCCGCGGGGCCGCGGCGGCTCGGGGGAGGCCGCCCGGCTGTCTGGGATGGCCTGGAGGTGGCGGGCCCGGGGGCCGCTCCGACGGCACCTCCCACCCGCCGCCCGCCCGCCGCAGCCGCACTTTCGCTTTCGCGCGGGGCGCGGCGGAGCAGTCGGGGCCGTCCCGCCGCCCCCGGGCCCGCTGCCCGCGGGTCCGCGCCGGCGGAGGGGGCGGCGGGCGGTGCCCGGAGCTGTCAGCGCACACAGCCCGGGCAGCGTGGCCGCCGGGCCGGGAGCGGGACGGGAGGCGGCGGGGCAGCGCCGAGGGGCAGCGCCTTGTTTACACGGGCGTCGGGAGAACATGGCAGCCCGGAGCGCCGGACACTCGCTGTCATGCGTGAGCGCTCCGCCGTGCGCGTCCCTGCCCGCGCCGCTGATAACAGCGCCGGTCCGGCGGGCTTTCATTGTAGCGCGGCCGTGAAACGCCGTGCTGGGTGAGCCCAGGTCGTGTTTGTCTGTTACCTTCTTGGATGCGCTCCCTCTTGTCTCTCCCCGCTTGAATAATTCAGCTTTTCATTCTGCCTGCTTCCCCCCCTTATGGCTGGTCGCTGTTGCCTGTCGTGTGACTTTTCTTTTGTCATTTAACTTCTTTAGCAGAGACATTACAACCTTACTGCAAGTTTAAAAACTGGTTCTGGGTCTAGTCCTTATTGCTCTTCCTTCTGCACTCATTCCATCTCATATACAGTGCTTTCAGAAGGGTGCTGGGAAAAGGATGGTTCTTTTGTGTTGTGCCATCCTTCTGTGCCACACATTCTTCATCTCTCAGGTTTCAGTAGTATCTGGTTCAGAAGGTGCCTGAAGTTTAGACTGTTACACACATCTTTATATGCAATAGTCTCATAAGCTACTCAGGAGCTTTACCATCATAAAACTGTCTAACTTAAATCTTACAAGTTTTTGACCCCTAGAATATACTGCCAAAGCTAATTATGGAATTTTTGCACACCGCTTCTTCTTTTTAGAGCGTGTGTTGGGGTTTGTTTTTTAAACCTACATCCTCACCATTTAATTTAATAATCTCTGCTGCGTTATTATGTAAAGTGATGAATAATTCCTCCCTACTCTGGCTTGTGGGGGAGTGGAAATGATTGTTAAGGACCAACAATCAATTCTCTGGAAAGAGAGGTGCAAGTGAGACTTGTGTCAGAGGGAAGAGAAGGTTACCGGGTGTCTTTAAATAGAGAGCAGTGTGAAGAGAGCCTGCTAATAGGATGAGATGCAGAAGGTCCAGGAGCAGCCTGCTGAAGCCACAAAGCTTTCTGCAGAACGTTAATAGTTTCTAAGTGATTATAAGCTTACATGTTTTGAGGCTTATCAGCTTCAGCTTTTGAGGTTTCAGAGCAAACTTTGGATGTTCAGATTATATATGTATGGAAGGAGATCTTCTGGTGTTTTGCTGGATTTGATGCATCATTAATTTGATCCAGCATAACAGTTTCTGTGCATTCAGGAATAAATTTACTGGATTTTTTTGGTATGAAAACTTATGAAGTGTGGTGTG